AAGGTAACATGATTGATGTTTACTCAACTGAACTATTGCTGAACTTTCAAATCCAGAAGAGATGTATTTCCTCCCATCCAGGGTTTGATAAAGAATATCTGCTTTTGCCTGATGCATTTATTGAATTTTCAGCTGGTAAATTAGGATGTTAAATATGTCATTATATTCCATAAAGAGATTAATTATTCCATTATAGTAAGACCATATGCATTTACAAAGATATGGCCCAGGGGTATCCATCTTTTCCAGAATTTGCTCTGATCACTAGTTATGGTGTACAATCTCCAACCATTTGAAGATCATCAACTTTTCTGGGCAGAACTGACATGTATGTAGCTCCTACCCTTTGGAATATCATATTCCTTGAGGTAGATCTGCATCAACCCTCCTGACCTTCAGTTAGGGGCCTGAAGACCTGTCTCTGCCATTAGGCCTGGCGGTCCAACAGGGGGGTATCATTCTGGAGGTGGTTAGTAGATTGAGAGAAGACCCCACTTCTCCCTGTATTCTTTGTGCTTCTTCTCCCCTTTTTTAAAAAAACTTTTGATTATACATTTTATTACAATTACGACTATTGTTACTACTGTTTTATCTTTTTAATGTTTCTTGTTTTAATGTTTGTAAGCCACTCAGAGTTGCCTCAGGACCAGATGGGTGGCAAATAAATTTAATAAATAATAATAATATTCCATATGTGGAATATCCCAGGTCCTTGGAAGGACTTGATGGGTTGATAAAAACGCCAAATCTAGTCTAAAAATGTGGCTGACTGTATAACGAACTATAATAATAATAGTAAAAATGAAATATTTGACAGCATTTTAAAAAGGCAGTGAGACTGAACTTCGAGCAAAGAGAACAAATAGAATAGAATATCCTGAGGCAAGGCATGGCTAGCTTTTGATAAGGCAGAGGTCAGTCAAGAAGAAAAGTTAGTGTGGCAAAAATAGTCATTCCAATAGTTCTCGTCAAACAAAGGGGGGAAGAAGAAATGGCCACTTGATGCTCCTATGTCTGACCTGGATTTGGAATGTAGTTTGTCTTGGTTGTCAGATGAATGATCAAGATAGGTAGAGAAATCAGGAAACATTAAGTCTCTTTATATTCCTTGATGTCTCAGGGTTTTTTCCCACACTTTTGACTATATTATCTTTTTGGAATGCTTAAAGAGGTGAAGACAGGCAGGAGGCATCACTTTATAGTAGTTTTACTCATACATTACTAGCTATTATCATACGATTGGGAGACTTGCTTGATTTTTCCAAGGGATCCTGCAAGGTTCCATTATAATCTGATAAATTACATGCACCCATACTTGGAGAGACAGTCCTGAGATAGATTGGACCATAATGGGGAACGTTAGTGTTGGCTAATGCCACACAGTGTATCAGGTAGCCTTGAAAATGGTTCAGGAACTATATTTGGCCCAGAATGCAGTAATGCAGATAATAAATGAATATCATAAAATGATGGAACTTGAAGGATTCTATATGCCATCAAATGCAACCTCCTACCAACCTCCAAAATGTAAAGATGTGGGCAAATCTTATGTAATTTTTGTTATACATAACCCAATACAATTTCTCCTTTAGATGTTGAAAAGTTCTACTTATGTAGAAGTTGTACTTTGTACTTGGATAAATTTGATTTTGACATATTACTATTAAATATATATATTGTATATGCCTACATATCTCTGTTCTTATATGGCTTAAATTAAATTGAATAAACCAGGTGGCAGTAGAATTTACAAGAAAAACAGAAAGAAAAGTTCAGAGGAACTGAAAACTTCTTCCTTCTATTACATTTTCTTCCAATTTAATCATTTTATAATGTATTTTTTAGTGAGACCTAGTTCATATTTTTTGAATACATGAATATTACAATCCTATGGTCATTTAATGAGTAAATTCCATTGAACTAAATAAGACTTAGGCCCCAATAGTAATTAATTAGGTTATATATCTCTTTTATAGCATTCTGTCTGCGCCTGTGACAAATTTCATAAACTTTTTTGCTTTGAAATATCTCAGTACCTGTGAGGCATTGGAAGAGTTTTTGATTTATATAAGTGTTGAAGACTGTCCAGATATATAGATTTCAGATATTATCTTTATTAATGTAACATTCTTTTCTTCACTTTCCTTCTTTGTTTCAAATTGAAGGACCTGTTTTTCACAGGACTTTTTTCAATTATTTAAATAAACTCAAAATAAATATATCATCTCTGTTCATGGCATTCGTCTTTCTCAGATAATTTAGCATGTTACACTTATTATTTGCACAGTCAAAGCTGCAGTGATCACAAATGAGAAAATTGTACAGCAGCAGGTTTAATGTTGTCAAAGAATCAAAACCCAACAGTTAAGTTGCTGTAATGAAAAAATATTTCTGTAGTGTTTTTGTGTTGCAATAGGTTACCGTCTTAAAATTTAACATTTGTACTGAAAATGGGGTTAATATTTATAAAAAGACAGCATATTACTTATTCTTTCTATGAAATAATAGCATTTTCTCATCCTGATATTGCATATTTGTAGATACTTCTACAATCAAACCTGAGCTTGGTAGTTGTTATGTATATAGTGGTTCCAGTATTTAGAGCAAGGAGGATCAAGAGTAAAATCTGAATTATATTTCCTTAGCATCTCATAAAAGAGAGAAAGGTTTTAGATTATTATCCCCCTTTAATACTGATCCTAGGCAATTGTTTTTTAGAGCTACAAAATTGAGAACTTGAAACACAATAATGTGTGTATGTGTGTTTATGTAAACACACATACACACACACATTTATCTATATATAAGTCTAACAGTTTTGTTTCTGTGTAGAGCTCTAGCTAGCTAGGGCAGGATAGCTTTAAACCCGTTTATGGCTTGCAATGGGAAGATTTGGGGGAAGTTCAGATAGAAGCCAGAAATGCCCTACATTTCTGATATCTTTTCTTAATTTCCTAATTGCAAATTTGAACTCTTACTTGTTTTATGATAATGGTTTGGAGAGAGCAGAACAAAGTTTTCTTTAAAACCTCCCTAGGAAATGTAAGAAGAGTATGTGGTTTATTTCCTTCAAACTCTAATTCTTCTGCACCCAAGATGCAAAGTCATGATATGCTTAAGCAGAACATTTCCATCCGAGTTCAGACCATTTTCTCCATCTATCCCTTTCTCCTGGTGAATATTTCCTCAATAGTTTATTAGGTTTTATATATCAAAGGTTTCAAAGTGATCTTAAAACATCATTAAGGAATTATTAAAAAACTAAAATAGTTATGTAGGAGCCTGAGAAATCTTAACTATGCAGAAATAACTAGTCTTACTTTTGCTAGTGTCTTCTACTTCATTCATTGTGAGACAGAACAATGATGGGTAAAAGATAAGATTCCAGATCATCAAATAACTTGATAAGTAACTTTCATGATTAAAAGTAATTAGATAGTAGTTTATTGATGGATTAGACTTACAATCTTATCAATAAAATAAAATAAAACATAAAATAAAATATATAAATCTAATTTCAGAATAAGATAGAAAAGAGGAATTAAAGTGATACAAACAAGTGTGCTAATACAGAGAGACAATAATCACATAAATGAATCTACCTTTCAGGATACTTCAATTTATTCAATGTATTGGGTTCGTAGGATGACTGTCTTAATTATAAACTTAGCAGTTCTGCTTATTATATGTACAACTGAGCTCAGGAGGAAATATGACAATCTTTGGTTTGGATCTCAGTAGGCTGTTATTTCCTAAAGGGATAGTAAGAATTTAAGCCAGATGAGGACATATAATGGACAGTCAAACAAAATATGAATTAGGTGAAATGTGTCCAGTCCATTTCCCATTTTCTTAATTTATATAGTATTACCTTTTAACCATACTGATTTATTGTGGAATACTAATGACTATATGGAGAAATTCCTTAAGACTTTTCTTTCTAGATACAATAAATTTTTCATATTACTTGAATTAATACCTTTCTTAATGATTAGCTGTAGTTTTGGATATTAATCATCATTCATCTAAGCTAAGGTGACCAACTTTTTTACAATGAAAAGGAGGACACAAATAAATTGAAGAAAAAAATATTGTAAATAAAAGAAACATTTATTCATTGCAACAATAATACAGACAACTTGCATGTGCAAAGTTTGCTGGCCGGGTGTTTTGGCGTGCTTAGCAGCAATTCCTATTGGCTTTAAAAAGCCAATAGCAGGAGTAGCACAGCACATGCAAAAGTTGAAAAAAAACCCATCAAAAAAAGGTGCCAGAATGCCGTTCTGAGCGTTCTATGAGAAAAAAGAGTTCTGCAGATTAGTCTTGAAATATCAAAAAGAGGACATATTAGGAGGACACTTTTCGAGCGAGGACAGAACTTACAAAAGGAGGACTGTCCTCCCTAAAGGAGGACGGTTGGTCACCTTATCTAAGCCAGTGTTTCTCAACCTTGACAATTTTAAGGCATGTGGACTTTAAGGCATGTGGACTTCAACTCCCAGAATTCCACAGCCAGCATTGCTGGCTGTGGAATTCTGGAAGTTGAAGTCCACATGCCTTAAAATTGTCAAGGTTGAGAAACACTGATCTAAGCAGTCCACAATATTTTCATAACCTAAGCAGGTACACATGATTTCTGGTGCTATTGCATCTCTTCAAAATGTATCCTTTTGTCCCATATAAGTGCATTAGGTATGTTTCTATGCATGCTCAATAATGTGTGTAAGAGAAAATAAATGGGTAACTTTCCCTTTCTAGTTTTTCTTGGTATCTTACAAAGAATGAGGAGAAATACAATAATATCGGGTAAAATATCTGAACATCAGTGTTAATGTTCAGTTTTGCAGTTCTCTATAACTATCATTATAAGAGAGATATGGAGGACCTGGTCTAGAACAATGGTATTTCATTATTTTTGGGTTTTTTTTAAACAACTTTATTCCTTAATATGATACAGTTGATATAATAGATTTAAAATGCATATTGTTTGTATCTTTTAGTGTTCAGCACAATCATCTTCAGAAGCCTGGGATTTCACTACACATAATGATACACTGACATCTCAGAAAACAAAACTTAATTTCAGGTAAAAAAATCCATTTATATTTATATTTTTTTTCTCTATAGCACAAATAAGTCTATACATTTTTGCTTTTAAGAATACAAATTTATACATACATCAGTTTAACATATCTATTAGAGAAGGTAAAGGACTATAGTAATCTCGTACTTTAAAAATATTAGCATATGGATTTCAAGATGTCATGAAAACCTCTGTATTGCCATCTAACTTGGGGTTCAGTGCCATGATGGAAATCCAGAGTAAGGAACTGACACTTTCACTTATCTGAAAACAGCTGTATGAAGAAAGTGAAGCCTATGTTAAATCCCAACTGGTAATTGTAATCTAGTATGAGATGAATGGTAAATGTTTTGGAAAAAAATAGGGAAAAAATGACCACAGTTCCTATTACACATAAAATAAACATAAATAAGAAACTGTCAACTGTTTCAGCACAGTCACATTTAACTGTTAAAGGGAACACTTGTAAACATGAGGGATATGATGAAAAAGAAGCCGAGGGGAAAAATCAAGGTGCCAAAATTTTACATAATGCCTGAGACTTGAGTGGCTTCTATTCCACAGTATAAGAAAGAATCAACCAACACCAAGTTGTGGAAATGAAGATGATTCTTTCTAAAATGGACAAAATAAAAAGGAGTACAAACTGAAAGAGAAAAGAAAGTGTATGACAAGCAAGTTAAGGGAAACACTAAGATTGTTTTAGATACACTGTATTCATATATATATATTGAGAATAAAACTTGATCACCAGGAAAAGTTAAAACATTTTTATATAAAAACTTTTAACGTTTTAACTTTTCCTGGTGATCAAGTTTTATTCTCAATATGTATACACCCAAGAATCATGCTTCTATTTTTAGTATTCTTTTATATACCGTATATGCCGGCGTACAAGGCGACCCGGCATATAAGACGACCCCCGTCTTTATTGCCGAGCCGCATTCCTAGAACGTCGTCTTATACGCCGGAAACTACCAGTATTTCCGGCGTATAAGACAACTCGGCGTATAAGACGACCCCCGTTTTTGGCGCCGATTTTAGCGCTCGCGGAAGTCGCCTTATATGCCGGCATATACAGTGTGTGTGTGTGTGTGTGTGTGTGTGTGTGTGTGTGTGTGTGTGTGTATATATATATATATATATATATATATATATAATATTAAAAATCGAAGAATAACGATTCCTGGGTATATACATTTCAATAAAAAGGCGATCACCAGGAGATAAAACAACACGGTTTTAATAAATAAGACCAGGCTTTCGATGGCTAGGAATCTACCATCATCGTCAGGGTATAGACCAGCCAGTGAAGTGATTGTTCCATTAGGGAAAGTTATTTTGAAGGATGATTTGAAATTGCAAAAAAATTGAGTGAAATATTTGCATCTTCTGCATCTACAGAATATATAGGATGTACTGACTTGAAATCTTAGAGAAGATTCCATTTCTTTTTTTAGTTTGAACACAATGCCCACTTACTCCTATTCTTTGCTTTCTCTTTTTTTAGCTAATTAGTAATTGGTTACAGGAAACAATCTGGAAAGGTCTTCTTATCCCATGACCATTAAATCTACTCAGCAGCCTTTAATGAGGAACTTTAAACAAGTTAAGAACTAGATAGAACTGGAAAAAGCTCAGACGTTTTCATGCAGCTGAAATATTTTTCTTATGAATAAGGGTTGCACCATTAATTGAATAGCTTGGGGGACGAGCTATTTTATTTATTAAAATGAATAAAATCATATGTAGTGTGGATAAAATGAACAATAAATTTTTATTCATTTTTTTAAAGCACTAAGACTGAGGGTCATTCAACAGAACTAATCAGAAGGAGATTTAGAATAGACAAACGAAAGTCTGTCTTCACACAGTGAATAAATAAATCTGTGGAATTCATCACCGTAACATTTGGTGATGGCTATTGATTTGGATAGATTCAAAATGAATTGGATAAATTCATAAGGAACAGGTCTATCAAAAGCTTTTCTTTTCAGGATGCAGGAAATTTACTGTCAGAATTAAATTAGAAGATCAGTGGAAAAAAGACGTGCCTCCTCCTTTCTCTCTGAGCACCCCAGAGGAGTCTGCTAGGCCACTGTGAGAAGCAAAATGCTGGAATAAGATGGGCCTTGGCCTGATACCCAGCAGGGTATTTAATTCTTTAAATAATATAGAGCACCTATGGAAAAGAATATAGGAAGTTCAATGGAGATTGAATTCTAATTTCTTTTTTTGCAATGCACTGCATTTTGCAACTAACCGTATATTGGAAGTTTTTTCCACATTGTGGGTACCACTTCTAATAATGCCTACCTCTGCATCTTATGGATGGGTATTAGTGCTCTCCAAATTAATGAAATACTCGCATTGGAATATAAAGACTCAGTAAATCTGTATGAAACAGGTAGTTCCTGAAATAAACTGATCACAAATTCTTGAGAATATTAAACTATCAACGTTTTGAAATATTCTGAGTGGATGGGCTGTTCAAAATTATGAAAAACCACCAAGTAACTATGATTCAGTAACTAATTGGCAGTCAGGCAGAGCCTACATGTCAGGTGGTACATATCATAATAAATAATTCCACTGAGTAATCTACACATGGCATTCTTTCCTAACTATAGTCTCTGAAGTACAGTTAAGGGGAGCTACTAGTTGAAGATGGTACAGTAATCTAGTCTGTCTGAATCCTGCCTTCCTCCAGTTAATAGCAGTTGGGGTGGGGAGAATATATTTTAATCCTTTAATACCATGATCATGCTTCATTTCTAAGGTTAGGGTTAGAATAAATCATAATCCCGTCATCTATGACTGAGATACAGTGTGTTACATTGTGTTCTCCTTAGTATTATTTCATGTGTATTGAGTGTTTGGGGTATGAGAAAGGTGGAGTCGGGGGTGGAGCCTGGTACCCCCTCTGCTGAGTGCAATAGCAAAAGTAGGGGGGGGCAGGACTTACCCTTGGGCTTGGTCTGTATGGAAAGTGAGTCCGGTCAGGAAGGGAGAAAGCTGGTGAGGATGGGGGTACTCTGGGGAGGGGAGAAGGTCGGAGCATCCCGGTCATGACTGGGATGGGCAGATATGGCGGGAGCCGAGGGGCAGGCCATCTTTGGGGAACGAGGACTCGCTATGTTAGAGCTATTCCTTGTTCCGGCCCCTCAAAAGGCTCATCCTGTAGTACTGGTGACAGGGGAGTACAGGGCCCTAATTGTAGGCTTAATTGTTGCTTAATGCCAGGTCCGTTGTCAGCAAAGCCCCCCTTGTCCGTGATTTAATATTGGACAGCAGGGTGGACCTGGCATGTATAACCGAAACCTGGCTGGGCCCTGAGGGGGTGTTTCCTTCTCGGAGATGTGCCCGGACGGGTTTGTGGTGCTTCATCAGCCTCGACATCAGGGCAGGGGTGGGGAAGTGGCAGTCATCACTCGGAAGTCCTTGAGCCCTCGTGGGATTCCTGCCCCGGAGGTTGTTGGGTGTGAGTCCCTCCGATTGAAGTTGGGTTCACGAGTTCAGTTGGGCTTGCTGCTGACGTACCTACCTCCCAGCTGCGTTGCAACAGCCCTGCCTGCGTTGCTGGAGTCAGTAGCCGGGTTGGCGGTGGAGTTCCCCAGACTTATAGTACTGGGGGACTTTAACCTACCATCACTCGGCGATCGCTCAGAGGCGGCGCAGGAGTTCATGGCTTCCATGGCAACCATGGACCTGACCCAGGTAATTCAGGATCCAACTCATAGGGGTGGTCACACACTCGACCTTGTGTTTCTCTCGGGGCAATGGAGACATGATCTGGAATTAAGGGGAATAGAGATCTCGCCCTTGTCATGGACAGATCATTTCCTATTGAGGCTGGACTTCAGAGCATCACTCCCCCATCGCAGGGAGAGGGAGCCGACTAGGTGGTTCCGCCCCAGGCGCCTAATGGACCCAGATCGGTTCCAGGAGGAGCTTGGGGAAATACCTGACTCCCTTGTCCACAACTCGTCCGGGTCCCTGGTTGCGGCCTGGAATGAGGCGGCGTCCGGGGCCCTGGATCGAATTGCGCCTTTGCGACCTCTCTGTGGTGGTGGTCCCCGGAGGGCGCCTTGGTTTACTGAGGAGCTCCGGGAGATGAAGTGCCACAAGAGACGTCTAGAGCGACGTTGGAGGGCCAGTAACTCTGAATCTGACCGATCACTATTAAGAGCCTATCTTAGGACTTATTTAGTGGCGATAAGGGCAGCAAAGCGTGTTCACTTTTCCGCACTTATTGCGTGCGCAGAATCTCGCCCGGCCGCCTTGTTTAGGGTGACCCGCTCCCTTCTTAAAGTAGAGAAGGCGGAGGAACCCTTGCAGGGGAGAGCTGAGAAGTTTGTTCAGTTTCTTTCGGACAAAATCACTCAGATTCAGAGAGGCCTGGACTCCGACTGGGCAGTGCCAGCCGAGTTGCCAGGGGCTGGTCTTAGTCATGTTATCTGGAGCAAGTTTGAGCCTGTGACCCCTGATGAAGTGGACAAGGCCGTGAGGGCAATGAATGCCGCCACCTGTTTATTGGACCCGTGCCCCTCCTGGCTGGTTTCTGCCAGTAGGGAGGTGACACGAGGCTGGCTCCAGGCGATAATCAATGCTTCCTTGATGGAGGGGTCTTTCCCACAACCTTTAAAGGAAGCTGTGGTGAGGCCCCTCCTCAAGAAGCCTTCCCTGGACCCAGCTGTTTTGAAGAACTTTCGTCCCGTCTCCAACCTCCCCTTTGTGGGGAAGGTTGTAGAGAAGGTGGTGGCGTCTCAACTCTTGCGATCCTTGGATGAAACCAATTATCTGGACCCTTTTCAATCTGGTTTCAGGCCCGGCTACAGCACTGAGACTGCTTTGGTCGCACTGACCGATGACCTCTGGCGAGCCCGGGATAGGGGTTATTCCTCTATCCTGGTGCTTCTTGACCTCTCAGCGGCTTTCGATACCATCGACCATGGTATCCTTCTGCGTCGTCTCGGAGAGGTGGGGGTGGGCGGCACCGTATT